ATAATTTCATAATCCATAATTATTATTTTATTCATTGGAAAACATTTTTACTACATATCAAAGTCCGTATGAACTTGGATCTATTTGTGGACTCTGTAATCTGTTCCCTTGATCTGTCCATCATTGCACCATTTCTTTACTTTTGGAATTTTTCCTGGTTATATTCTCACATGTGATTAATAAACTTTAGAATAAGTTTTTAGGGTACAAAGTAATTGTGTTTAGATTCTGATTATCATTCTATGAGATTAATATTAATTAATTGGTGAGAAATTACATCATAAAAGTAATGACATCTTTCTAAGACTATATGGTGTCTCCACTTATTCAAGTCTTCATTAAATCTCTCCATACATGTTACTCATGTTCTACATATAGATGCACATGTGGAAAACATTTGTTAGATTTATTCTATTCAATTTGATTCTTACTGTTATCAGTAGTTTTAAAACAGTTCTTATTTGCATATAAGAGAACTGCTTATTTCTTTTCTTTTTTTTAAAATGTATCTTATTGATTTTTTACAGAGAGGAAAGGAGAGAGATAGAGAGTTAGAAACATCGATGAGAGAGAAACATCGATCAGCTGCCTCCTGCACATCTCCTACTGGGGATGTGCCCGCAACCCAGGTACATGCCCTTGACTGGAATCGAACCTGGGACCTTTCAGTCTGCAGGCCGACGCTCTATCCACTGAGCCAAACCGGTTTTGGCTGCTTATTTCAATACATTAACATCTTCTCTTGCTGAATTGTCTTATGGTTTCAACTAATTTTTGTGTTTATTATCTTGGATTTCAATCTCCATTCTACAAGTTTTTAAATTAATTTTAAAATTATAATTAATTTTTTAAATTAATTATAATATAAGCCTATAAAAGTTTGATGGAGCTGTATTAAATCAGCTTTAATACAATAAAACACATCCTTAAAATTAATTTTAAAGATGGGAGAGCCTCTGGCTATGGCTATGTGTACAGGTGGGTGAATTCTGCCAGCAAACACAGTGTAAAGGTGGGCAAAATTGTCAAATGTAACTGATCAAAGGAAAACAACAAGCCGAGGAGTCTTTATTTACAAAAAAAAGTGCTAGAAACTCCGGTGAGAACAGTGGGAATCTGAAGTTTTCTGGTTGGAGGCTGCTCCCCTTACCGCTTCCAGTGCGGTCAGAAAGAGCTATCATTTTTCCAGGATGGATGTATAAGTCAGGATCTGGTCAGGTGAGAAAAACCACACCGTAATGTGATCAGAAAAAATTATTATAAAGAATTATTAGCTATAAGAAGTGATTGGAGCCCTGGCCTGTGTGGCTCAGTCAGTTGGAGCATTGTCCCACACACCAGAAGGTTGTGGGTTTGATCCTAGGTCAGGCGTGTGCAGGAGGCAACTGATGGATGTCTCTCTCTCTCTCACTTCCTCTCTCTAAAATCAATCAAAGACCAGTGCAGTGATTGGGGTAACAAGGTATTAGCTAATACAAAGTAAAGAGAACGCTAGAGACTATCAGAAGAGCAGGGCTGTAAGAAGCAGCCACTACCCTTGGGGCTGAGACCGTGTCCAATGAACACCTCTCCCCCCGAGTCCCCAGGCGGAAATCCAGAACGTGGCGAGCAGAGCTACAACTCCCCGAATGACAGCAGTCATAGCGGTGCCGCACCAACGGAACTGCGGAGAGAAACACCTACCTCTGGAACTTTCTGAAAAATCTGCCGACCACAGAGTGGGGGGAGCTCTTTATGGAGAGGCACTGGCCATACCTCAGCCTGAAGGGTGACGGGAGAAGCGCTGGCCGCTGGGGGGTGCTGCCCGGTACCCCGCAGGAGCTGGAGGCTGGAGAAGTGCTAGAAACTCCGGTGAGAACAGTGGGAAGGATGCACACGCTGCAGGAGCGGGTGCTGGGGGAGCAGCAACTGTTCAGGAGCCGCGTGCTGGCAACCTGCCAACTCTGGAACCTGGACGGAAAACCCCTTTCCCCTGCGATGTGCCCCTGGCGCCCTCTACTGACGAGGTTTAAACATCACGCCAGATGGCCCGGATCTGTTTTTACAGATCACGCCATGAAGAATGAATTTGGAGAGCAGAGCTACAATGTGAACACAGAAGCACTAGGAAATGTTATCTAAAATACCCAGCTTTCAACCAGAACATTACAAAACATGAAAAGATACAAGAAACTGTGACCCAGATGCAAGTCCATAGAAATGACTCTGAGTGGCCCTAACCGGTTTGGCTCAGTGGATAGAGTGTCGGCCTGTGGACTGAAGGGTCCCAGGTTCGATTCCTGTCAAGGGCATGTACCTTGGTTGCGGGCACATCCCCAGTGGGGGTGTGCAGGAGGCAGCTGATCGATGTTTCTCACCCATTGATGTTTCTAACTCTCTATTTCTCTCCCTTCCTCTCTGTAGAAAGTCAATAAAATATATTAAAAAAGAAAGAAGAAAGAAATGAC